TAAAACACTCAGAACCAATCTTGTTTATTTTAGTACAGTAAATTAGTTGGATGTATGACTTCAAAAACTTATCCCATTTTCGGTGCTATTACGTCGCGTGACCCGTAGATCACGTATTCATGTTTATTGTATTCATACAAAAAATGCTCGTATTTTCACACATTTTTTGTGTCCACTGACGATCGCTATCGCCTAAATGACAACGAACTCGTGGTATAAAGTAGGTTAAGAACGTTTTACTTATTAGATCCCTCATAAGCTCCAAGCAACAAACCCAAGGTCCGAAGGCGAAGTCGTACTGCTGACTGTACAGAGGTGTGACAGCAGTAAGGTGTTTCCTTCAGACAACCAGCATGACAGCGATGCTGCCTTCCCACAAGGAGGGGTGGGGTTAGAAAAGGTCGACCCTAAAAATGCACACCTCACCTTATCCCACGGATATCCGTCTCCGGCCGTAAGGTCTCAACAAGTACGGAGCTAACACAAAAATTACCCATAAAAAGGTCGTGTGTGACCGACCTCAAGCAGTTGTCCCTTGGGCACTGCGGTCACGCTCCCAGGTCACTAAGACCACCTCTAATCCTATTTCCTTTTCGGGTACCTCCAGAACAACCCTTCCACGGTGTGGGCAACCGGGAAGTGATAACCGCCCTCATACCTCTAACAGCACTCAAGACCATTGTATTCATAATCAACCTCCGTCTTCACTTTCTATTATTCTTCCTACATCGACTTTCACCTCTAAACTTCCTTTTTCGGCTTCCCCCTTAAGTGTCACCATAGCCAACGATTCTAGTGCTCAAAACACTGTCCCAGGTCTACTGAAATCTCGCTCCAAACTACACATTGGAGCCTTCAATGTACGCACCCTATGTCAAATCGGTCAACAGGCTTCCCTGACTAGAACCCTAGAATCTCGTACCATTGGTGTATGCTGTGTCTCTGAAACACGCATACAGGATCCCAGTGTGGTCATTCACTTGACCTCACCTCGGCAGAACGGAGAACCAACGAGATACACTCTCTGTGTATCTGGTGACCCGACGGCCAGCTCTCGTGGACTGGCAGGAGTAGGGATAGCACTAAGCATGAGGGCGGAACAAGCACTGTTAGAGTGGATCCCCGTTAACAGTCGTTTGTGTGCTGCTCGGCTAAACGGCTCCGTAAGAACTCAGAAGGATAGGGACACACGTCGTTGCCTTTTGGTCGTTTCTGCCTACGCTCTCACCGACTGCAGCTCAGATGAAGTGAAAGATGAATTTTACAGAAAGCTATCTGAACTTCTTCAGAAAGCTAAACTTTCAGACATAGTACTCGTAGCAGGTGACTTTAATGCTCAGATAGGTAGTTTAAACCAAACAGAAAGGCATTTAGGTGGGTATTTTAGTATTCCAGCACAACGAACAGATAATGGTGATCGTCTGCTGCAACTGTGCTCAGACAATCCTTTATCTTTAGCAAGCACAAATTTTAAGCATGAGGAGAGACATCGTCTAACATAGCGACCTCCTACACCAAACCAACGATGGACTCAAATAGACCATATTACTATCAGTCCTCGTTGGAGAGGGTCGGTAGAAGATTGTCACTCATTCTGGAGTACCTGCTTGGACTCCGACCACGCCCTAATACGGGCACGCATCTGCTTGCGCCTCACTGGACGCAAAAAAGCCTTAGTAAAAAGACCCGTTAGAACTGAATTGAGTAGCGAGAAAATCAAAAGTAGTTTCCAGGAACAACTGAGGTCACGATTAGGTAGTTCTGAAAACGAGGTTGACCCAGATGTTGCTTGGAAAGCTATACAAACAGCTGTGGAAACAGCAGTGACATCTATTAGCGACTTAAACCACAGAGTTTCAAAGAACCAGTGGATTTCTTCAAAGTCTATCACACTGATGGATTCTCGCAAACTCGTCCCATCAGGTTCTGAACATGATGAAGAGCGACAACAAATTAGATCTAGGTTAAGAAAAAGTCTAAGAAACGACCGTGAGCAGTGGTGGGCAACAAAAGCAAAAGAGATGGAAAAGGCGGCGACTATAGGGAACACAAGACAGCTTTACAGACTAATAAAAGAAACTGGAATTAATAAGTCAAGTGTAAGTGAGATTATATCGGAAAAAGACGATACACTCATCTGCTCCCAGTCCAGACGTTTAGAACGATGGGGGGAACATTTCAGAGAACAGTTCAACTGGCCTTCAGCTACTCTACAACTACCCTCCATTCCCAGACAGTGAATGGAACATTGAAGTAGGTCCCCTAACTCTAGCAGAAGTTCAAAAGGCTATAGTTAATCTGAAACGAGGAAGGGCAGCTGGTCCAGATGGATTGGCTCCAGAGGTCTTTAAGGATGGTGGCCCAATTTTAGCGATTAGGTTGACTAATATTTTAGCTAAGATCTGGGAGTTGGACGTAATCCCATCTGACTGGTCGCAATCACTTATCGTCCCAATATATAAGAAAGGGTCAAAATCATCCTGTGACAACCACAGAAGGATTAGTTTAACAAACATAGTATCTAAAATACTGGCCTCGATAATTATCAGACGTCTAACTAAGACTCGTGAACTACAAACTCGAGAGAACCAAGCTGGCTTTAGACCTGGTCGTGGCTGCATCGACCACATATTCACCATTCGTCAGGTTCTAGAACACAGGCATACCTATCGGCGTCCGACGATGGTGGTCTTTCTTGACTTAAAAGCAGCGTTTGACTCGGTAGACCGCGAGACTGTGTGGCAGTGTCTGTCATTGAAAGGCGTACCTCAGAAGTACATAAACCTTGTGAAGGCTCTTTACTCGAACACTACTAGTCGAGTCAGGGCTTATGGCGAACTGTCATCTACTTTTGCAACTTCAAGTGGTGTCCGTCAATGATGTCCACTTTCTCCATTTTTGTTTAACTCCTTCATAGACCTATTGATGGAAATAACACTCTCGTCGACTGAATTCTCGGGTATTGATCTCCTTCCAGGAGGTCCACTTGTCGACTTAGAATACGCAGATGACATAGTCCTGTTTGGTGGAGACGCTGATGAAATGCAGAGTCTTTTGGTAGCACTAAGCAACAATGCCAGAATATTTGGAATGCACTTCTCTCCCTCTAAATGCAAGTTGTTGCTTCATGACTGGTCTGCAGCAACACCTGAACTAAGGATAGGGAGTGAAGTAGTCGAACGCGTTGACAACTTCACTTATCTTGGAAGTCTGGTCAGCCCAAATGGGTTGGTGTCTGACGAAATCTCAGCACGGATTCGAAAAGCTCGTTTGGCTTTTGCCAACTTACGTCACCCATGGCGAAGGCGAGATATCCGTCTATCAATGAAAGGACGAGTATACTGCGCGGCAGTCCGTTCTGTTTCAATTTACGGCAGCGAAACATGGTCATTAAGAGTACAATACACTCGTAAGTTACTAGTATTTGACCACAGCTGCCTTAGAAATATTGCTGGCATCTGCTGGGATCACCGGGTAAGTAATAGTGAAATTAGACGCAAGGCATTATAGAATGATGGTAAATCAGTTGATGAGGTTGTGAATCTTCATCGACTGAGATGGTTGGGTCACGTATTACGTATGCCCGAACACCGATTACCACGTCGTGCAATGCTAACCGGTGTTGGAGATGGTTGGAAGAACGTTAGGGGCGGCCAAACCAAGACTCTTCCCGGAGTCCCTCCGGGGGCTCCTACCGGTCCCAAGCCCGGATAAAAGAGGAGGTTTGGGCATGGGATTAGCGTCCCCATCCCGTAGAAAACTAACTCGCTAAAAAAACGTTAACCAGAAAAAATTATTCAAGCCTTCTAAACTCTGCCCTGGGAGTCAGAAGGTCTTCCTTTAGAAGAACTATGACGCCTCATGATGAAAGCCGAATTCCTTCGGAAGTTACAAGGCCGATGCCCCTTCTGACAACCAGAGCAACCATTTATTTAGGTACATGGAATGTTCGTACAAGGACGGACACCGGGAGAGCCTTCCAAATTGCTGCAGAAATGAGGAGATACAACCTAGAGGTGCTTGGGATCAGTGAAACACATTGGACGCAAGTTGGACAACAACGACTAGCTTCAGGGGAGCTTCTGTTATACTCCGGCCATGAAGAAGAAAATGCTCCACATACACAAGGAGTTGCATTGATGCTGTCCAAACAAGCACAAAATGCGCTTATAGGATGGGAATCTCATGGAGCAAGGATCATCAAAGCCTCCTTCAAAACAAAGAATGAGGGCATTTCAATGAACATCATCCAATGCTATGTGCCTACCAACGACTACAATGAAGACGCTAAAGATCAATTCTACAATAGGCTGCAGTCAATCATCGAGAAGTGCCCAACAAAGGACCTGACCATTCTGATGGGAGATTTCAATGCCAAGGTTGTAACGGACAACACTGGATATGAAGACATCATGGGACGACACGGACTGGGAGAAAGGAACGAAAATGGTGAGAGATTTGCAAACCTATGTGCCTTCAATAAACTGGTCATGGATGGCACCATATTCTCATATAAACACATACACAAAACCACGTGGACTTCACCGGATAACACCACGCAAAACCAAATCGACCATATTTGCATCAACAAAACGTTCAGGATGACGATGGAGGATGTAAGAACCAAGAGAGGAGATGATATAGCATCAGATCATCACTTGCTGGTCACCAAGATGAAATTGGAACTCAAGAAGCACTGGACAATGGGGCGGACAAAATCACAAAAGTTCAATACGGCCTTTCTTCACGATACTAACAAACTCAACAAATTCAAGATAGTCCTCAGCAACAAGTTCCAGGCCTTTCATGATCTACTCAATGGAGAAGGAACTACTGTGGAGAGCAACTGGAAGGGGATCAAAGAGGCAATCACTTCAACATGTCATGAGGTCCTGGGTCACAAGAAGCACCATCACAAGGAATGGATCACTGTTGATACACTGGATAAGATTCAAGAGAGGAGGAACAAGAAAGCAGCAATCAATACCAGTCGAACAAGAGCAGAAAAAGCCAAGACACAAGCTGAATACACAGAAGTAAACAAACAAGTGAAGAGGAGCATCAGAACTGACAAACGTAAATATGTGTAAGATTTAGCGATGACGGCGGAAAAGGCTGTAAGAGAAGGAAACATAAGAGAACTGTATGACACGACAAAGAAACTCTCTGGAAATCGCCGCAAACCAGAACGACCAGTGAAAAGCAAGGAAGGCGAGGTAATCACCAACATTGAAGAGCAACAAAACAGGTGGGTAGAACACTTCAAAGAACTCTTGGATCGACCAGCTCCACTGAACCCACCCAACATCGAAGCAGCACCCACGGACCTCCCAATCAATGTTGGCCCACCAATTGAAGAAATCAGCATGGCCATCAGACAAATCAAGAGTGGCAAAGCAGCAGGACCGGACAACATTCCAGCAGAGGTACTAAAAGCAGACGTAGCGGCAACTGCAAGGATACTCCACATTCTCTTCAATAAGATTTTGGATGAGGAACAAGTACCAACAGACTGGGAAGAAGGACTTCTGATCAAAATACCGAAGAAAGGCGATCTCAGCAAGTGTGATAACTACAAGGGCATCACTCTTCTCTCAATACCGGGAAAAGTCTTCAACAGAGTATTGTTTAACAGGATGAAGGACTGCGTAGACGCCCAACTTCGTGACCAACAGGCAGGATTCCGTAAGGATAGATCGTGTACAGACCAAATCGCAACTCTACAGATCATTGTGGAACAATCACTTGAATGGAATTCATCACTCTACATCAACTTCATTGACTGCGAAGAAGCATTTGATAGCGTGGACCGAACAACACTATGGAAACTTCTTCAACACTACGGCGTGCCCCAGAAGATAGTCAATATCATACGGAGTTCATATGATGGATTACACTGCAAAATGGTGCATGGAGGACAGTTGACAAAGTCGTTCGAAGTGAAGACCGGTGTTAGGCAAGGTTGCTTACTCCCACCCTTTCTCTTTCTCCTGGTGATCGACTGGATCATGAAGACGTCAACGTCTGAAGGGAAGCACGGGATACAGTGGACATCTAGGATGCAGTTGGACGATCTAGACTTCGCAGATGATCTAGCCCTTCTATCCCAAACGCAACAACAAATGCAGGAGAAGACGAACAGTGTGGCAGCAGCCTTAGCAGCAGTAGGTCTCAATATACACAAAGGGAAAAGCAAGATTCTCCGAAACAACACAGAATGCACCAATCCAATCACAATTGACGGAGAAGATTTGGAAGATGTAAAAACCTTTACATATTTAGGCAGCATCATTGATGAACAGGGTGGATCTGATGCAGATGTGAAGGCGCGGATCGGCAAAGCAAGAGCAGCATATTTACAACTGAGGAACATCTGGAACTCAAAGCAACTGTCAACCAACACCAAGGTCAGGATTTTCAATACAAATGTCACAACAGTTCTACTCTGTGGAGCGGAAACCTGGAGAACTACGAAAGCCACCATCCAGAAAATACAGGTGTTTATTAACAGTTGCGTACGCAAAATACTTCAGATCCGTTGGCCGGACACTATTAGCAACAACGTACTGTGGGAGAGAACAAACCAGATCCCAGCGGAGGAAGAAATCAGGAAGAATTGCTGGAAGTGGATAGGACACACATTGAGGAAAGCACCCAACTGCGTCACAAGACAAGCCCTCACATGGAATCCTGAAGGCCAAAGGAAAAGAGGAAGACCAAAGAACACATTACGCCGAGAAATGGAAATAGACATGAGAAAAATGAACAAGAATTGGATGGAACTAGAAAAGAAGGCCCAGGACAGAGGGGGTTGGAGAATGTTGGTCGGCGGCCTATGCTCCATTGGGAGTAACAGGCGTAAGTAAGTAAGTAAGTAAACCAAAACGTGGCATCAGTGCTTGAAGTCACTAACTTCTAGTCTGAGTCATGTTGGGAGATGCAGACTACATGGTTGGGGTCCGCGTGACTATCGTAACCAATGGTTGGAGACTCTTTGTGATATGGCTCATAATCGATCACAATGGCGTTGGTCTATACACTCTCTGTCTTCGGTTAAACTGAGAATAAAATCGCTCCATATCTTTCTTTCTATGAACTAATTCTTTCTTCCTGTACTATATCCTTATTGCAATCGTCCTTTCATATTTTACCACCTCTGAATTAACTACTTCTATGAATCCGGTGTCCATCTTGTTGTGTTAATGAGGTATGGCAACCTGGACCGATGCATATATGTGCCTGGTCCTATGTTGTAGCTGACTGACTGACTGTTCATGCGATTGAATAAGCTTCACACTGGTAAACTAGACGCTGTTCAACGTCCGTTCAGTTTTTACAGCTTCAGCAACACGCAAACATAAATTATAGATTTAGGTATCTGAAGATTGAATTCCATCAATTTGTTGGAAATTCTCTCTCTGGTTTTTATCTATCTTCTAAATAACTGAATCACTATAAAATAGCACATTATTCTTAAATCTATAAACCGTTGAAATATTTTTGAAAGAGATGAAATCAGTTTACGGAATAGAGAAGTACTTAGAAATTTACATGCAAATGAAAATTAAATTAATCCGAAATGTAGTCGCTATTGAGTTCGGTTACTTTAAACTCACCCGTTGACTATTCGAATGAGTAAACAAGGACTCAGAAACTGGATTTTCATTGAAACTCGTGTGTATGCTGGATGCGTTTGTAGTATTCGTCGACACAGTTTCCGGCTCCTGCCAGAACAAACTCATACTGGTCCCACATTAAATTGCTTATCCCGTTTCAAAAAAGCAATTAAGGATCGAGTATAGTTGGCCAGTGCAATAGGGGATTTTATCAATTCAGTAGGCAGATCAAAACTAATCACACACTATGGGCACTTTATAACACCAAACAGATAAGATTAGACCTTCCGTCAAGAGTTTACTCTGATAACTACCTATTTAAAGCACGAAGAGAAACTTTGGCTTGGAAATCCTCGATATCAGTTGAAAAATGGAGACAAATGAAATATAACAGTCATCGATGTCGACGATCAGTTGGTGTCACCCCTCCCGAAGCTCGTATATCAATCATAACTACTCTAACGTAAGCTTATGCCTTACTTAAAGGTCTCTTCGGCGTTGACTCGAAAAAAGTCGTATTCAGGAAGGAATTAGTCAGGGACTTAGAGAAAAGTTCGCATAGTAGTAATGGATGCCAAAAGCACATTTGGAATGGTCAATAGAGAATTCACATGTAGACTAACTGTATACTTATCATAAGAGTTTCGAAAAACCTCTAAAGCTTACATATAAATTATGAAGTTCACAAAACAGTCACATTGTTTTTTGTGTGGATTTTAATAGATCTACATATCTGACGGCTAGGGAGCCTTGAATACCCTTCAAATAGTAATCTGTGCACCATGCACTTCCCTATGCATTAAAATACAATTAGGTTTAGTTACTTCTACATGTTGAAAGTAATCATTGTTGAGTATCATATACATTTAAATTACTATTAAATGGGAATAAAGTCATTTTAATTAATTGAGAAATCGTAATAAGTGAAATAATTATGTATGCGTGAAACAATGTAAACAATTTAATCTAAAATTGGATATACAAAATAAGAATGAAAATGAATTTTTTGATTAATAAGAAAATACAATTTAAGAAATTACGTATTAAATCTCATTGATAAAAACAATTAACATTATGGTTTAATAATGATGAGAGTTACAAACTAGTATTATAGACGATAAAGGAATAAACAAATCATTTGCAAACATGAAATTTAAATAAATATCACTGATTTCAAATATTGACCTCACCATCAACATTGATAAAATGTTATGCAAGACATAACAATATATTCATTTTAAAATATTTACTGTTCAACCAACCAATTTGTATTCTGGTTCATATTATAACGACAAAACAACATTAGGAAAGAGCAGTAGTATATGGTAAGTGTATTTTATATCGTTGTAAGTGTACACAAAAAATGCATAAAGAAGTAATTCATATTATACTTTTCATGGAATCATTTCGGTTGAAGTTCTACTGATCATATTTGAAATTCTTATATTTTGTCGAAGAGCTGGAATGTGATAAGTAGTTGAATGGTCTAAACTGTATGATGAATAAAATTGTGGTAACTTTCTATGAGAGTTAACTTCCAACCTTTCTTCAAAAGACTGTAAATGTGTATGACGAAAGAAGCATGGATTTGTACAACGATTAGTTTTCTTTGTTGATTTATTCACTTTACGTAAAGTACCGTTTACATTACTACTATCACCATTCATACCATGAGCAACTGTTTGACCTGGTTTGTTACACGGTGTTATGAAGACCTTTGTATAAGGATTTTTCCCTGATTTAGGCTTGAAGTATTGATCATCAATATCCAAGGCACCATCAGACTCATCAGATATTGAGCGAGGACTACGTACCGAATGATCGATTGGGCCTGATTTTGGAATACAATGCAAGGAGTATCGTGGCATAGAATAGGTAGATGAGAATCTAAAAGTAGACTGAGTTACGTCATCCTTCGAAAAAGATAACGGCAGTTGACTCATAGCAAATAACGACTCTCGACTGGCAACCAGGCGTGTCTTGTTCATATTTGAAGTGTTGAAGCGTTTTAAATGATGAAACGAATACATAGAAATAATCTACAAAAAGGAAACAGAAATACATGGAATTCAAAAGTACATTTTCTTACCAAGCACTGAGGTATTTGTACCAGAACAAATAATTTAAAAAATAAGGATTGTAACCGAGCTGAATGTAGTGGTCTTCCTATTACTAATTTACCACTTAGCCACAAGATAAAGTACACAGAAGAGGATGAGGGACGTAATTATTTAGTTGTCAAACTCACTGAACATTTATATCCCTCGTCTCCTCAGCTTGAATCGACTTAGATGAACAGATGTGAGTTGAAGGACATTAGACTGAATTCACCATAAACCTAGTTCTCATTATTATTGCATAAGTGAATATTTTAATTGACCAAAAATCATAAACCGGCAATCTATGCACCTAGATCCAAAATGCTTACAGGCAGATGCTTTATTATACTCAGGTTTCATTAGCTGGCGGTCAATTAAAATGAATATATTCATAAATGTATATAGAACTGTGATATCATCCGAGTTGGATTAGTAAATTGCTATACACGATTTTCTAATTCTATAAACATTTCTGAAGCAATTCGTCCGACTTTGTAGATGATCTCGAAAGGAATATCTGAATAATAACCTCGATAACTACCTAAAGGTGAATATAAATCAGTCAACAGCCTTATTTTTGATCAGCTGTTATTTAGAAGAGATGAAGATTTTACATTATTTCAAGTGAAAAGATAGTTTTTAAGTGGATGAAAGAACAACTAACTAAGTGAATACTGGGAAAAAATTACAAACGATAGAAATAATTGGAGACAATTTAATCGAAATTAGGAATTTACCATGGCAGTCAAGGTAAAATGGGATGAAAATATAGGATTAATTAACTTCAGAATAAATGCTGCAGAGAAGATTGCTTATCAAGCGACAAGGTTCGTCACCTTATGTGAAACGAACTGCGACAAAGGCTTACTTTAGAAGCAAGCCAATCGGAATCGAGGACGCAGTTTCTAGGTCTTTGCGCAGAATTTAAATATTGAGGATGTACCTATGGTGAACCATTACTTATTAATTCCCTTTTCATCTAATCACCTTACTTTGATCACGAATGTATTTTCTTGGGGGTGCTTATTCACTCATTATATATTGTAAGTTTTCCAGATTTGTATCCACATAACACTTCACTTAACCATACATTTTAAAAATTATGTAAACTTCTTAAATCTCCTATCATCGTTAGGGCAGATATCTTATCGATTTTGAAATTATAGATCATTACCGATATTTCCCCTCTTTATGATTTCCATGTCTATCTTTAAATAACCATATTCATGCTTATTCATATATATATATATATAACTACGCCTGAAGTCCCTCCGGGGGCTACTGCCGGTCCCAAGCTCGGATAAAGGAGGAGGGTTGGACATAGGGTTAGCGTCCTCATCCCATAGAAAACTAACTCGCTAAAAAAACGCTGACCAGAAAAAATTATTGAAACCTTCTAAATTCTGCCCCTGGAGTCAGAAGGTCTTCATTTAGAAGAACTATGACGCCTCATGATGAAAGCCGAATTCCTTCGGAAGTTACGAGGCCGATGCCCCTTCTGACAATGTGGGACACCGGGAGAGCCTTCCAAATTGCTGCAGAAATGAGGAGATACAACCTAGAGGTGCTTGGGATCAGTAAAGCACATTGCACGCAAGTTGGACAACAACGACTAGCTTCAGGGGAGCTTCTGTTATACTCCGGCCATGAAGAAGAAAATGCTCCACATACACAAGGAGTTGCATTGATGCTGTCCAAACAAGCACAAAATGCGCTTATAGGATGGGAATCTCATGGAGCAAGGATCATCAAAGCCTCCTTCAAAACAAAGAATGAGGGCATTTCAATGAACATCATCCAATGCTATGTGCCTACCAACGACTACAATGAAGACGCTAAAGATCAATTCTACAATAGGCTGCAGTCAATCATCGAGAAGTGCCCAACAAAGGACCTGACCATTCTGATGGGAGATTTCAATGCCAAGGTTGTAACGGACAACACTGGATATGAAGACATCATGGGACGACACGGACTGGGAGAAAGGAACGAAAATGGTGAGAGATTTGCAAACCTATGTGCCTTCAATAAACTGGTCATGGATGGCACCATATTCTCATATAAACACATACACAAAACCACGTGGACTTCACCGGATAACACCACGCAAAACCAAATCGACCATATTTGCATCAACAAAACGTTCAGGATGACGATGGAGGATGTAAGAACCAAGAGAGGAGATGATATAGCATCAGATCATCACTTGCTGGTCGCCAAGATGAAATTGAAACTCAAGAAGCACTGGACAATGGGGCGGACAAAATCACAAAAGTTCAATACGGCCTTTCTTCACGATACTAACAAACTCAACAAATTCAAGATAGTCCTCAGCAACAAGTTCCAGGCCTTTCATGATCTACTCAATGGAGAAGGAACTACTGTGGAGAGCAACTGGAAGGGGATCAAAGAGGCAATCACTTCAACATGTCATGAGGTCCTGGGTCACAAGAAGCACCATCACAAGGAATGGATCACTGTTGATACACTGGATAAGATTCAAGAGAGGAGGAACAAGAAAGCAGCAATCAATACCAGTCGAACAAGAGCAGAAAAAGCCAAGACACAAGCTGAATACACGGAAGTAAACAAACAAGTGAAGAGGAGCATTAGAACTGACAAACGTAAATATGTGTAAGATTTAGCGATGACGGCGGAAAAGGCTGTAAGAGAAGCAAACATAAGAGAACTGTATGACACGACAAAGAAACTCTCTGGAAATCGCCGCAAACCAGAACGACCAGTGAAAAGCAAGGAAGGCGAGGTAATCACCAACATTGAAGAGCAACAAAACAGGTGGGTAGAACTCTTCAAAGAACTCTTGGATCGACCAGCTCCACTGAACCCACCCAACATCGAAGCAGCACCCACGGACCTCCCAATCAATGTTGGCCCACCAATTGAAGAAATCAGCATGGCCATCAGACAAATCAAGAGTGGCAAAGCAGCAGGACCGGACAACATTCCAGCAGAGGCACTAAAAGCAGACGTAGCGGCAACTGCAAGGATACTCCACATTCTCTTCAATAAGATTTTGGATGAGGAACAAGTACCAACAGACTGGGAAGAAGGACTTCTGATCAAAATACCGAAGAAAGGCGATCTCAGCAAGTGTGATAACTACAAGGGCATCACTCTTCTCTCAATACCGGGAAAAGTCTTCAACAGAGTATTGTTTAACAGGATGAAGGACTGCGTAGACGCCCAACTTCGTGACCAACAGGCAGGATTCCGTAAGGATAGATCGTGTACAGACCAAATCGCAACTCTACAGATCATTGTGGAACAATCACTTGAATGGAATTCATCACTCTACATCAACTTCATTGACTGCAAAGAAGCATTTGATAGCGTGGACCGAACAACACTATGGAAACTTCTTCAACACTACGGCGTGCCCCAGAAGATAGTCAATATCATACGGAGTTCATATGATGGATTACACTGCAAAATGGTGCATGGAGGACAGTTGACAAAGTCGTTCGAAGTGAAGACCGGTGTTAGGCAAGGTTGCTTACTCCCACCCTTTCTCTTTCTCCTGGTGATCGACTGGATCATGAAGACGTCAACGTCTGAAGGGAAGCACGGGATACAGTGGACATCTAGGATGCAGTTGGACGATCTAGACTTCGCAGATGATCTAGCCCTTCTATCCCAAACGCAACAACAAATGCAGGAGAAGACGAACAGTGTGGCAGCAGCCTTAGCAGCAGTAGGTCTCAATATACACAAAGGGAAAAGCAAGATTCTCCGAAACAACACAGCATGCACCAATCCAATCACAATTGACGGAGAAGATTTGGAAGATGTAAAAACCTTTACATATTTAGGCAGCATCATTGATGAACAGGGTGGATCTGATGCAGATGTGAAGGCGCGGATC